TATGTTTCAGGCTCTGAGTGGACCAGTTTTCCTGGACAACGGTGCCAGCAGCACTTGGAGGCGAGGGGGTCAAACGGGAAGTCCATTCCCTGGAGGTGCCTTGCCCGGCGGGGCGTGTATTGTCTCTCCTGGGCAGACTGGGTAGTGTCCGCGGAGGGGAGGAGGAGCCCAATATGGCCCTGCGGGCGCGGCTCGTCCGTGCACACGAAGGTGCCCCGGAGGCAAGTGGGAACCTGGTGCGCGACGTCCTGCCTACAAGCTCACCGTTGCAAGCGGTGGCAAGTCCTCTGGCCCTGGTGTCTTCAGTCCTCCACCCGCTGGGAGCCCCACCAGCAGTCCCGAATTCAGGGGAGGGGAAACAGCGAATCCACCTACCCTTGCCTGCCGGTCTCCGGGCTGCTCCGGTGGTCTCAGCCTCCAGTTCTCCTCCGCAGCCTCCTCCCGTGGAGTCTCCCGGGGTCTCAGGTACCCCTCCGTCCGGCCCTTGTCTGCTGTATGCTCGTCTTCTTGCTTCTTTCCTCTAGTTTCTGCTAGAATCTGTCTTTTCTGTAGAGACCCTCTGTCTGGCAGTGTTATTCGTCCGCCATCTTGAACTCTCTCAATTCTATGATTTATTATGTAGACCTTTGCCAAAATAGAGATGTGTAGTTTGAAATTCAAACTAGAGAATTTTTTTTCTTCATCCATACTTCAAAGCCTTAGTATTTCATGTGATCCTTTTTTGTCGTCTTCTCCGAGGGGCAGGAACGCCAACCAGCCTGTCCTCAGAGAAGGACACGACCACCTGTGGGCACTCTGGCTTCCTTGGCCTCCAGCTTTCTGGGCTGAAGGGTGACGCTGCTGCTCAGAGCAGCGTCCCAAAACCTGAGAGGATTTGCCGTCATGCTACTGGCGCGTTGCCTCGGGCCAGCCAGGGAGTTAGGCCCAGGAAAGGGACAAGCCGGGTGGCCGCGGTGCAGCCCCTCACTGAAGCAGCATAGCCCAGGGAAGGCCCGGGTCGCCCGCCTCTCCTCAGCCCAACGCTGGGGCCTCCCGCTCATCCACCTCACTGATTTTTATTGATATATTTTGTTTCTGTGGCCACCTTCATTTGTGTATTGCATTAAACATTTTTCTGGTGTTCACTGTGAGAATTACCTAAAATCTTTTGAAGCTGCAACTTATGTTAAACTGATAACTACTTAACCTCAATTGTACATAAAATTCAAAATATTTATATCTGCCCTCAACTTCATAATATAGATGTCAGTAATTATGTCTCTTTACATTATGTCAATTAACATGTGGGAATGATCATTTTTATTTTGTCTTTCAAATTTTATAGCATAATTAAATGTTTTTGCACCATCAATATAATACTGCAGAATTTTATTTTTGATATGTGCATATCTTTCCCAGAATGTTATGTAGTTGTCTTGGGAGATAGAAACCAGCCATTCAAAGGCCATCAAAAACCAGATGTATGGGCACATGTGCCATTGATTTGAATCTCTTTTGAAAGGGAATCAAGGAAATAGAATTTTACTGCTAAAGTGATACCTCTGTATCAGTGGGGAGGAAGTGTTTTGCTGGGTAAATGTAACAAATGTTCCTTCCCCTTCCATATGGTTCTTGGTGTCATACTCATCTGGGGTACCATGAAATATTACCACTTATGATTTCTCAATGAATCATGTTTGCAAATATATTTTGGAGGTCATATATCTATGATGGAAGTAAGACTATGGTATTCTATTGCACTTTCTTGCTAATGTGCTTGGTATAGTTTTGTATATTCAAATTATGAAGTATATTTACCTAAGTATAATTAGTGAGATACTTTATTATTTTCATTTCTTTCAGAACTCTCTTCCCATTGCACTGAAGACCCAATGCCAGAGCAGGGCATAAAACATTCATTCCAGAAATCAATAATAAGACTACACAGAAAATGTGACCAGGAAAATGTACTTCTAAGAAAAGACTGGGAGTGTGTTGATGAGTGTAAGAGGCAGAAAGTATGTTATGATGGTCTTACCCAATGTTTGTCAGGTAACCATAGGAAAATCTTGAAAGGTTATAAATGTATAAAAATGTTTAGCAAGTCCTCAAATCTAAATAAACCTAAGATAAGACATACTGGAGAGAAAAGTTTCAAACATAATGAATGTGGCAAACCTTTTATGCACAGCTCAAAAGTTCTTGGACATAGGAAATTTCACACTGTAGACAAACCCTACAAGTGTGAAGAATGTGGAAAACCCTTTAACTGCTACACAAAACTCACTATACATAGGAGAATTCACACAGGAGAGAAACCCTACAAATGTGAAGAATGTAGCAAAGCTTTTACCCATTGCTCAATCCTTACTCAACATAAAAGAATTCATAATGGAGAGAAAACATACAAATGTGAAGAATGTGGCAAAGCCTTTACCCAGTGCACAAAACTTACACAACATAAAAGAATTATCAGTGGAGAGAAACCTTACAAATGTGAAGATGTGGCAAAGCCTTTATCAATATTGGAGACCTCAATCGACATAAACAAATTCATACAGGAGAGAAACCATACAAATGTGAGGAATGTGGCAAAGCCTTTACCCAGAGCACACACCTTACTCAACATAAAAGAATTCATACTGGAGAGAAATCCTACAAATGTGAGGAATGTGGCAAAGCCTTTACCTGGTGCTCAACACTTACTCTTCATAAAAGAAATCATAGTGGAGAGAAACCCTACAAATGTGAAGAATGTGGCAAAGCCTTTACCCACAGCACACACCTTACTGAACATAAAAGAATTCACAGTGGAGAGAAACCCTACAAATGTGAAGAATGTGGCAAAGCCTTTAACAAGATTGGACATGTCAATCGACATAAAAGAATTCATAGTGGAGAGAAACCCTACAAATGTGAAGAATGTGGCAAAGCCTTTACCCAGAGCACACACCTTACTCAACATAAAAGAATTCATACTGGAGAGAAACCCTACAAATGTGAAGAATGTGGCAAAGCCTTTATCAAGATTGGAGACCTCAATCGACATAAACGAATTCATACAGGAGAGAAACCCTACAAATGTGAGGAATGTGGCAAAGCCTTTACCCAGTGCAGAAAACTTACACAACATAAAAGAATTCATAGTGGAGAGAACCTCTACAAATGTGAAGAATGTGGCAAAGCCTTTACCCGGTACACACACCTTACTCTGGATAAATGAATTCATACTTGAGAGGAACCGTAGAAATATGAGCAATGTGGAAAAGCCCTTGCCCAGTGCTCAATCCATACACTACATAAAATAATTCGTAGTGGAGAGAAACCATACAAATTTGAGGAATGTGGCAAAGCTTTTATCCAGTGCTCACACCTTAATCTATATGAAAGAGTTTATAACAGAAAAGAATTGTATAAATGTGAAAATTGTGACAAAGTCTTTAATAACTGCTCCAATCTTACTCATCATCAAAGAAATCATACTAGATATAAGTGAGATAAATGCAATGACTTTGGAAGTACTTTCCCAAAATATTAGCTTTAAAATGCACAACAGTACTTATACTTATGTAAACAATAATAATATAGAGTGCGGACAATATCTTGAGTTATGGCAGAGATTTTATTGGACATGGGAGAACTTTCACTGAAAGTAATTCTGTAATATTTTCTGAAACATTGATGACCATCACAAAAATTTTCATAGATAGAAACCTTACAAATATAATGAATGTGAACAAATATTTATGAAAAAAGTATACCTTAGAGAACAACAAAGAATTGATACTTAAGACTCCTTTACAGATATAATAAATCTCAGAACACATTTAATCAAAATTAAGTCTAAACAGATATCAGAGGACTCACAGGAAAATGTGCTGAGGCACTAACACATTTAAACATTTCTTTAAACCAGGTTGTTGAGTATAGAGAATAACTCTGTTAAAATAGTTAGATAACTTATTTTTATGTCAGTTTTAAAAACGAGAGATTTTTTGAAAATTATAATGATGTGTAAAATATACTTTCTTGTCAGGGTGGGATGCAAATGCAATAAAGTATAATTTTTTTGCAACCTTTGACAAGGAAATACTGATGTTATTCAACTTTAAAAACAGTAGATGCTATGCTTCATTTTTAGTGTGTATGTGAATGTCTATGGTTAATGATAGCTGCATCACAGTTATTAGAAGTCTTCGTATCATTCATGTACTTTTCCATAGAAAACTAAAATCACTGAAATGTAAGATGTATGAAATGGAGAGGTGCTGTGTGGTAGACGTCTAAAAAACAGTATTTCAAGTGATATATGATGTAGGTATACAGACTAATATCCTTCTCATTAAAATCAGAATGAAACGATGACAATATCACCAATAATTTGTTTTACTGATTGCGCATTAGAATAATGAAACAATGAATTTTTAAATATTTTAGATTACATGTAAACTTAATTTGTTTTATTAAATTAAAAAATGTTTTTATTGTGTCAAACGTTTTTTACTTTGAACGAACTGTCATTTTGCTACCAACGTTAACCTATTCCATGTTACTCAGAGTTGGAGGCAAGGGATTGTAAAAATGTACTATCGGGTTACATAGTAAAATCAAATCACTTGCGATCCTTTTTTCAGTGGCTTCAAATTTCTAATTCTTTGAAGAATAATGTTCCCACAAGTGTTATTTTTTATTATTTTTATAATTCCATTTTAACTGTAATGCTTACAATAAAGTTTGTACACTTAATGAAAAGCAATATATTTCTGAATACTGAATGAGTACTTGTTACATTTTATGCTACATTTTTCTTTTAATATGCAACCCATCTGGCCAGTGAAACAGAAATAAATACATTTTTTATTTACATTGAATCAAATATACAAATACATCACATATAAGAAGAACTTTAATTGTTGTAGATTTACAGAGTGAGTAATTCTGTTTGTGTGAATGTGGATGTATATTTATTTTGAAAAGAAAAGATATATTAAAAAAATGGGTAATTTCATAATTGTTCACAATTTACTAGCAAACTAGAATCTCCATGGATTCTGAAAGCATATTTTTTTCCTTTATGTTGAATTAATTTG